TTTTTCTATTCATTCATTTTTGTGGGATGTGGGCATCGCTGGCTGGCCAGTATTTATTACTCATCCCTAGTTGCCCTTGAGAAGGTGGTGGTGAGCTGCCTTCTTGAACCACTGCAGACTACCTGCTGTGGGTTGACCCACAATCCATTAGGGAGGGAATTCCAGGATTTTGGCCCAGCAACAGTGAAGGAACGGCGATACATTTCCAAGTCAGGATGGTGAGTGGCTTGGAGGGGAACTTGGAGGTGGTGGTCTTTCCCATATGTCTGCTGCCCTTGTCCTTCTAGATGGGAATGGTAATGGGTTTGGAAGGTGCTTTCTTGAGGATCTTTTGTGAATTTCTGCAGTACATCTTGTAGATAGTACACACTGCTGCTACTGAGCATTGTTGGTGGAGGGAGTGGATGCCTGTGGATACAGTGCCAGTCAAGCGGGTTGCTTTGTCCTGGATGGTGTCAAGCTTCTTCAGTGTTGTTGGAGCTCTACTCATCCAGGCAAGTGGGGAGTATTCCATCACACTCCTGACTTGTGCCTTGTAGATGGTAGACAGGCTTTCAGGAGTCAGGAGATGAGTTACTCACCACAGTATTCCTAGCCTCTGACCTGCTCTTGTAGTCACTGCGTTTATGTGGTGAGTCCATTTGAGTTTCTGATCAATGATCATAGATAACTCCCAGGATGTTAATAGTAGGGCATTCATTGATGGTAACACCATTGAATGTCAAGAGGTGGTGGTTATATTGTCTCTTGTTGATGATGGTCATCGCCTGGCATTTGTGTGGCATGAATGTTACTTGCCACTTGTCAGCCCAAGCCTGGATATTGTTCCGATCTTATTGCATTTGGACACGGACTTCTTCAGACACTGAAGCGTCACGAATGGTTCTAAACATTGTGCAATCATCAGTGAACATCCCCACTTCTGTCCTTATGATAGAGGGAAGGTCATTGTTGAAGCGGCAGAAGACGGTTGGGCCTAGGACACTATCCTGGGGAACTCCTGCAGAGATGTCCTGGAGCTGAGATGATTGACCTCCAACAACCACAACCATCTTCCTATTTTCTTTATTTATTCCCGGGATGAGGGCGTTGCTGGCTAGACAATATTTATTGCCCATCCCAAGTTGCCCAGAGGCAGTTAAGAGTCAACCACTTTGCTATGGGTCTGGAGTCTCGTGTAGGCCAGATGGACTTTTCCTGACAATCGGCAACAGATTTGTGGTCACCATTAGACCCTTAATTCCAGATTAATTCAAAGTACACCATCTGCCATGGTGAGATTCAAACCCGGGTCCCCAGAACGTTCTCTGGGTCGCTGGATTAACAGCGATCATACCACTAGGCCGTAGACTCCCCAGTGTCAGGTATGATTCTAACCAAGAGTTTTCCCTTTGATACCCATTGATTCCAGTTTTGCTCGGGCTCCATGATGTCACACTTGGTTGAATGCAGCCTTGATATCAAGGGCTGTCACGCTCACCTCACCTCTGGAATTCAGCTCTTTTGTCCATGTTTGAACCAAGGCTGTAATGAGTTCAGGAGCTGAGTGGCCCTGGTGGAAACCAAACTGGGCATCAGTGAGTAGGTTATTGCTGAGCAACATTGCACTGTTGATGACACCTTCCATCACTTATGATTAACAGTAGACTGATGGGGTAGTAATTGGCTGGGTTGGAGGATATACTTGGGCAATTTTCCACATTGTCGGGTAGATACCAGTGTGTAATTGTACTGGAACAGCTTGACTAGGGGAGCAGCAAGTTCTGGAGCACAAGTCTTCGGTACTATTGCTGGAATGTTGTCAGGGCCCGTAGCCTTTGCAGTATCCAGTGCCTCCAACCATTTCACATGAAGTGAATTGAATTGGCTGAAGACTGGTATCTGTAATGCTGGGGACCACTGGAGAAGGTTGAAATGGATCGTCCACCCGGCATTTCCTGCTGAAGCTTACTGATGTGCTGGGCTCCTCCATCATTGAGGATGGGGATATTTGTGGAGCATCCTCCTCCAGTGAGTTGTTTAATCATCCACCACCATTCATGACTGCATGTGGCAGGACTGCAGAGCTTAGACCTGATCTGTTGGTTGTGGGATGACTTAGCTCTGCCTATCACTTGCTGCTTGTGCTGTTTGGCGTACATGTAGTCCTGTTTGGTGGCTTCACCAGGTTGATGCCTCATCTTCAGGTATGCCTGGTGCTGCTCCTGGTATATCCTCCTGCATTCCCCATTGAACCAGAATTGATCCCCTGGCTTGATGGTAATGGATGACTGGGGGATATGCTGGGCTATGAGGTTACAGATTGTGCTGGAGTACAATTCTGCTGCTATTGACGGCCCACAGTGTCTCATCAATGCCCAATCTTTAGTTGCTAGATCTGTTTGAAATCTGTCCCATTTAGCACGGTGATAGTGTCACACAACACGATGGGGGTTATTTTCAATGTGAAAGCGGGACTTCGTCTCCATAACGACTGTGCGGTGGTCACTGTTACCGATACTGTCATGGACAGACGCATCTGCAGCTGGCAGATTAGTAAGGATGAGCTCAAGTATGTTTTTCCCTCTTGTTGGTTCTCTCACCACCTGCCACAGACCCAGTCTAGCAATTGTGTCTTTTAGGACCCGACCAGCTTGATCAGTAGTACAGCTGCTGAGCCACTCTTGGTGGTGGACATTGGAATACCCTACCTAGAGTACATTTTGTGCCCTTGCCATCCTCAGTGCTTCCTTCAAGTGTTGTTCAACATTTAACAAAGTGATCCCAATAAATATAGCATTCATTTATGTGAATAGGATAAAGTAAGAGTATTATTCTGAAAAATGAGAGGAAATTCTGGTGTAGCTAACAACAAGAAGGACAGGAATTTGCGGATTTTTGAGTTTAACTATGCATGTTTTTCCCACCTGGAGTAGCTGTAGCATATTTACATAAATAATGGTACACAGCATTAGCCTCACAGGAAAATCTCGAACATAGTTACCATTATCCATTATGACACAAAGACTATTCAAAGGGAAAAGTGGATTTTTAAAGGGTGAGAAACAGAATGCATAGCCCCTGATACTGACTGCCCCTTAGCCAATTAACACGTGGAGATGGGACTTCTGTCTTCACTTGGGGAAGATGCTGGTCAATCTGATTTGTTGCTTTTTGTCTCATCTCAGCAGTTGCAGAAGACAAAACTGGGACCGTAAGTAGTTCTCAGAGATGAAGGACCAACAGTCCAGGGTCATGTATGTTTTTGACTCTCAGGGCTGCGAGAGGAGTGGTGGTTGAATGGGGAGGAGGTGGGGGGATGCAGAAACAATGGTGCTGGGCAAAAGATGGTGCTCATGGTTTTAGTGGAGAAGGAGCATTGTAAGGGACATGTCATAAAGTGGGAGGAGCCACTCAATTTTGAAAGGAAGCCTCCACACTTTTCTGCCAGATGCCTGAACAGGGTAACATTCAGGGCTTCCTCCCGTGCTTCAGCTTCTCCGATCTGCCTGAAAATTGAGGCCTGGAAACCATTACTGCCTAGCAAGAGGATCTCATATCACAGAAAAGCAGAAGCATCCAAAAGCAGTCAGGCAGTGTGCCAGCTTCAGTCAGAGAAAAGAGGCCATTAGCAGCAGAAGTTCTGATAATAGCTGTCTCCATACTTGCCAGGGATGGGAAAAGCCCTGAATTGTTTAGAAGAAAACCCCAGAAGCAGAAGGCTGTGGAAGACCTAAGCCTGAGGAACCGAAGTTAGATAATAAGTCTTAGCACTTTGTTTAAGAATCAGGGGAAGAGGTGATCCACCGTTGACCTGTAACCGTAAAGTTGTGGTTGAGGGTAAAGGGATTGAAACTTTCCTTCTAATATTTATAATAAGATTGTTTCATATAATTCTTGCAGAGTGTAACATAGTTTGTAACAAACACAAAGAATGCTGGAGAAACTCAACAGGTCTGACAACATCTGTTGAGAGAGAAAAACAGTTTATATTTTGAGTCTGCTATGAGTGCTCTTCAGAACTCATAGTTTGCATTGTTGCCTTTTTCCTTTTGTGTGTTTTGGTAGCCTCTTATGAATATGTTCAGTGACTGACCACCAGAGCAAACAAATTGTAAAAATAAAATTTATGATCTGTCAAACCAGGTTTAACTCTGGGATCTGACTTGTCCAAGACTGCCATCAGCTGGGCTCATGAATAATAACGTATGAAATTTGGTGTAATTTAAGTAGTAGTTAATCATAAATAAATAATTTAGAAAAAAGGAGATTTTATTCACTTGAATAAAATTAGACTAAGAGAAAAGCTTGCACTAGGATTCCATAAATGTGTACATTTCAATCTCTTCTTTCAGATTCTTAAATAAAAGTCACCTCTTAACTCTTTTTACATTTCCCTTTGAGCCAGTGTCTACTTTTTGTTGACAACTTAGTAAAGCTTTGTGGGATACTGTTCAGTACTAAAGATGCTGTATTAATGTATGTTGTCATTGTTGTTGAAGAACAAGATGAATGAGAAGAATCTCATAATTGACTGATTTCTTTTTTCTAGCATCCAGATGAAAAGAGACTAGAAGGGCTTTCCAAACAATTGGATTGGGATGTTCGCACCATTCAGCGTTGGTTTCGGCAGAGAAGGAACCAGGAGAAGCCCAGCACCCTTACCAAATTCTGTGAGAGCATGTACGGATTTAGTCTGTTGTGTTTTACTTAGACAAAGTTAGGACAGAGTTTATAATCTGATGTTATTGCAAAGGGGGCTTCATTTGCTGCAATTGAGTAATTTTTTTCTGCCTTAAGTATTGGAAGTATTCATATATGTTTGCCATTGATTTTCTTGTGGGACATAAAGTTTGAAAATCAAAGGAGAAGTACTATTTCTCTGAGATTGCTTTCTTGGAAACCACTGTGAAAATGAAACCATGTGACCTGAATTGTCAATACAAATTAAATAGATTATCAGATAAAAGTTACATGTATGATTACAATGTAGGAAACACAGGCTGCCTGAATTCAGAAGGAAAAGATTCTGCTGACCAGCTCCTTGATTTTATAATGAAAATGATATTCTGTCACTACAACATTGGGGCACTGATCTGTCAGTGAGAGATTTGATAATCAGTTCCTGTGTCGTCTCTTTCCATATGGCTATGGATAATTTACTACAGCTGTTTTCTGTAAAGGCTTTTCATTTAATCATGTTTTGTTTAATAATGTGATCCTTCTGCTCCAAGAAGGCTTTTGACAAATGCTGTAGCACGAAAGATAATTGCACAAAAAGCAATGACTTATACTTAAAATGCTAAGCTAAAACTAAATTACCAATTAATTAGAGGGTAGGAAGTAGCAGGGATGTGTTACTTTCGGGTTGAAAAGTGCTTAACGAGACATCTTAGGAAAGAGTGTTCAGACTTGTACTGTTCGCTAATTAAGCACATGGATTTGCATTCATTGAATTATTGCAAACTGGTCGAATTCACATGCAATACCAAACTGGGAAGGTTCCCCAAATCTGAGGAAGAGTCTTAAGGGCTATGGAATATATGGAATGAAATGTTATTCAACAGGGCAATGATATATGAATTCTATTTGTTATTCTTTTCACAAGATGTGGTGTCACTGGATAGCCCAGCATTATTGTCAATTGTGAAGTGAAACAAATTGCCTGAAGACTGGCATATGTGATGTTGGGGATCTCATGAAAGAGCCAAGATAGATTATCTATTTGGGACTTCTAGCTGAAAATGGTTGCAAATGCTTCAGCCTTGTCTTTTGCACTGATGATCTTCCATCATTTAGAATGATGATACTTGAGCAATCTTCTCCTATGGTCAGTTATTTAATTGTCCACTACTATTCATAACTGGATGTGGCAGGATGGCAGACTTTAGATCTAATGGTAGATAAGAGAAGAAAGTCCACAAGATTAATCAAATACTGTCAGAAGTATGAATAAAGACTGGAAAAAGCTTGACCTGTAATCCTTGAAAGGAGTCAGTTGAGGTGACTTTATAAAGACTAATGATGATAAATTATGTAAAAAAGTTAGCTTTACAAAATACTTCAGAGTAATTTTTTTGAATCACAGAAATACAGGGATCTGATTTTTTTTCCAGATCAGTGCCATTGTGTTAAGATTTCAGATCACCTGTGCCCTGTAGCACTGGGAGCAGGAATATGAGCATCCTCATCAATGATCCTGTTCATATTCTGCACACTCAGCGCATTTAATCCTTCCATTTTGGTGGTGTCAAATCGAACCTGGGTTACTGGTACTGCGAGGCAGCAGTGCTAACTCCTGAGTCACTGTGCCATTCATGGTTGTTCTCCTTTAAAATGGAATGCCTGTCCAAACGATGTTCGACAATTGTGAGTACGACCTTTAAAAGCTAAATTTGAATGAAGATCACAACAGAAAGGTGACAGATTAGCAGGTACACAGGAAAGTACTTGGCTCAACAAATTGACTGTTTGTACATGCATTGATAGACCTAGGAATAAATGGGTAAGGACATTGCACCAAATTATAATAGAAAAAAAATACACACAGCTCACAATAACAGACTTTTGAAACCTCTTTGAAGAGATTATACAAAAGGTTGGTACAGAAGACAGCTGTAGCAAAATATCCATAGCCACATGGAAGGAATTGACACAGGCGCTCAGTACTAAATCTTTCACTGACAGGTCAGTGTCCCAGTGTTCAGTAAATCAATAATAATGGGCAAAATAAACACATCAGCCACTTTCTCTTTTCCTCGCTAATCACTACTGTATTCTTAAATGAAGAATTATATGGCTAACTCTTTGCACTCCACTCTGATTAAGGAAGTGGGCAAAGGTCTGGCAGATGGAATACAATGTAAATAAATGTGAAGTCATACATTTTGGTAGGAGTAATAGTAAAAAGGATTATTACTTGAATGGTAAAAAGTTGCAGCATGCTGCTATGCAGAGGGACTTGGGTGTCCTTGTGAATGAATCACAGAAGGTAGGTTTGCAGGTACAACAAGTAACTAGGAAGGCAAATGGAATTTTGTCCTTCATTGCGAAAGGGATTGAGATTAAAAGCAGAGAGGTTATGTTGCAGCTGTACAAGGTGCTGGTGAGGCCGCACCTGGAGTACTGTGTGCAGTTTTGGTCTCCTTACTTGAGAAAGGATGTACTGGCACTGGAGCGGGTGCAAAGGAGGTTCACTAGGTTGATTCCGGAGTTGAGGGGGTTGGCTTATGAGGAGAGACTGAGTAGATTGGGATTATATTCATTGGAATTCAGAAGATTGAGGGGGGATCTTATAGAAACATATAAAATTATGAAGGGAATAGATAAGATAGAAGTAGAGAGGATGTTTCCACTGGCAGGTGAAGCTAGAACAAGAGGGCATAGCCTCAAGATTAGAGGGAGCAGATTTAGGACTGAATTGAGAAGGAACTTCTTCACCCAGAGGGTTGTTAATCTATGGAATTCCTTGCCCAGTGGAGTAGTTGACGCTACTTCAGTAAACGTTTTTAAAGATAAGGTAGATTTTTTTTTGAACAATAAAGGAATTAAGGGATACGGTGAGAATGCGGGTAAGTGGGTCTGAGTCCACGAAAAGATCAGCCATGATCTTATTGAATGGCGGAGCAGGCTCGAAGGGCCGGATGGCCTACTCCTGCTCCTAGTTCTTAGTTCTTATGTTCTAAGTGCAATTATTTGAGAGCTTATTCTTCACCATCTACCCTAACAGTAATTATTTTATTCAAACAATCAAAGCGCTTTGGGTTACTTTTGCAGGATTGTAACACCAGATCTCTCAGATCAATTTTATCATGCTTTCTTATTTCACCATGACAGCGCGAGGAATTTGAATTCAATTGAATTCTAGTCTGAGCAATTGTAACCATGAAATTCTCATTGATTGTCATAAAAATAATCTGGTTTACTATTTTCCTGTAGGAAAGGAAATCTGCCATCTTTACATGGTCTGACTTGTTTGTGACTCCAGACCCACAGCAATGTGATTGACTCTTAGCTATCTTCTGAAATGACCAAATAAACTGCTCAGTTCCAGGTTAATTAGAGGTGTGTAGCAAATGTTGGTCTTGCCAGTGATGCCCATATACCATGAAAGAAGAAATATGATGGAAAGATAACAACGTAAGGAGTCCATGTAACTTGTCTTTGCTCCAGATCCTGTGATACCCCAGATGACTTAGTCACCCAGTCAACCTGACTGTTTCATGAGAAGAAATCTCATTGACTCTAGGATGCCCCTGGAGCAGAAAATTTTCAGCATATTACTCACAGTTAACAACGGAAGATATTCATTGCAAACAGATATTTATCTCAATATAGTTTAAGTTGTACTTACATATTCTCATTATGCTGCTGAAGAAATACTTTGAGTTGCCTCTATAATACAGAAGTCTTGGAACCTGCAAGTGTATTGTCACTCCACATGAGTAGTGGGAGTCTTTGACTTTTTTCTATTTCTGGTTCCGAAAGTGGATAATGAGTGAAGGCCAATTTAGAATTTGTCATTAGGAAATGCTGGCCTATTAATTTTTGGGTAGGCTAGACAGGGCATAGACCTGACCAGATGCATCCTACCATTACCCTCACATAACAATTTAAATATCAGGGCATTGGAAATAAGATTGCATGGGTTATTAACAAATGTACATTCCACTGGTATGGATCTCAAGTAATCAATCACGTAACTCAGACTGGTGCACTGTTTTGACCTTGGTAATCTATATTTTAATTTTCTTAGGGATTCAGTGTTGGAGAAATTGTGGTTTTGGGAACTGTCATCCCAGTATGACTCCAACATACTTTATGATATTGATTTGGTTTCTTTGCTAATGGCAGTGCATCTAGCTGTTCAAGCGAACTGTATTTTAAACTAATAATTTGACAAAGGCTTTGTAATAGTGTGATAACATTACACAGCCTTTATATTTTTACCATTTCATTACAATAAAGCAGATGTTTTCAGCATTCTTCTTTGTGTAGTGTGGAATGCAGGATTTTGCTGAAGGACATTGGATACACTTGTTCATTAATTTATTGGAAGTATTACTTGACTTGCAAACCTGAAGTGAGGAAGATGCAAAACCGCTTTTGCCCTAGTGCTATGAATTATTCAGTCAATAAATTAAATGACTTAAAATGAATCACTGACTTTCACAAGCAACTTTAACTTGAAAGCATTCCCAAAGTACATCAATACGAATAATTAGTAAATTGAAAAGTGGCTTTGATTAATGAATGAGCTGTAGTAAGTTATGATTCTGTTGGAAGTCTGACCCATGTCCATTTTATCCACTTGCTTTTTCTCGATTTGAACAGATAGTCAGTCTATGAAAATAATTTGTAGAAGAAACTTGTCATTGTTATTATCTAAGTAAGGATTGAGTGTTTATTTTATGGGTAAGACTTCTACTTGAAGTGTATCCAAAATAGATTTTTTGTTATTCACTAATGGGTAACAAGCATCGCTGGCTGGGCCAGCATTTATTGCCCATCCCTAGTCTTGAGAAGGTGATGGTGGACTGCCTTCTTAAACTGCTGCAGTCCACATGCTTGAGGTTGACCCATAATACCTTTCCGGAAGGAATTTCAGGATTTTGACCATGCGACAGTGAAGAAACAGTGATATATTTCTAAGTCAGTATGGTGAGTAGCTTCAACACTGATCT